GGTCATAGAAACAGACTAAACTTAGGACATCAGAACAACCTGGGAAGACAAGGAGGGAGGATTGAATGTGGGAGGTGGGTAGTGGGTAGGGCAGAGGAGAGTAATAGGGGGGAAATTCGGACGACAAATTGAACAATAAAAATGAAAATAAAAATAAAAAAGAACATCCTGGGGCATTTCAGGACTCCAGCTGTGCACTAACCAAGATTCCTTTGAAGCGGAACCCACTGGCCACCCCACCCTCCCCCTCCCCCAAGGGTAATTCATGTTAATTTCCCTCACTTCCAACACACCTTCCGGTGAATATGCAGATAACTTCAAATAGACGGTTAAAAGAGTAGTTAACTGGGGACTAGGAATCCCTGTCACACATCATCAAAAGGTTTTAAGGCACTTCATTATCTCAGAATTCAGGTAGCAAACCATTTTAAATGAACCAGACTCCCTTACCTTAGATAGTTGTTATTTCTTAGAGAAACTACTTCTTTAAAAATTTTTAATGTCTCAATTGGCTCTTCTTTTTACAGAAGGGTCTTCTGCTCTCAGTTAAGATTTTCCTCACTGCTAGGAATGCAAAGAGGATGGTACTCCATGGCCTAAAAATTTACACATTTATCAGAGCTAGTGCTAGCTAACAGAACAGTAAATTAATACCTAGTTGGGGAAGGAAAAATAATTATTTACTATTGACCTTTTCAGGAATGATGACCTGGTCTCACCATCTGATTATTCAGGGTTTGTTATATGGATTTTATGCCCTGCATTCCAGCACATGAAGGCATTTATTCGAAATAAATGCATCAAAGAACATTTTCTAAGAATTTAGCATAAATGCACTTTGCCAATGAAAGGGCTCTTTTCTGCTACCTTGTCTGTCTACTCTGCCGTTACCCTCATTGCAGAAACAACTCTGGTTTTCTTAAAGTGGATGCAGGAGAGGCCAGTGAAATGACAGGATAAGAGGTATTTCATCAACGGTGTATGGACTGAGTGCATTGGAGGCAGGCCCAAACTCAATTTTTTCATTCTTTCCATTTGAAAAATTTAGCATTTTGCAGTCAGATTTCTGATTCTTTTCAAACATCTCAGAGTTTGGCAATTTCTGCACAAAATATTATGTACACATTATTTTTTCAGTTCCTACCCCCAAAAGGTTGCTATCCTAGAAAGAATTTTAAAGGTATTCTAAGGCAGTGATTAAGTTAAATGAAATACTTGTTCAGTGATAATCTAAACACAAGGAAATGTTTTGCTAAGTAGTAATTTTAGCATAACAGCTGTGTACATCTTGTCCAGTACAGTTAAATTATCCTTGCTCCTGTTATCCATTTGTTCTCCCATAGTCATTCATTCTCCACCCCCTCCTCTCTCTCTCTTTCTCTTTCTGTGCGTGTGTGCATGAGTGTGCGTGCTTGCTGGGGTTGGGGGTCAGCAGAGCCAAACTGCATTTTTTACATTTCACTGTGGGCTGAAATATCAGCAAGCAAAATTTCAGCAGCAAACAAAACTTAGGTTTCCCCTTCGAAGCTCACAAATATGTTGTCTAATTAGCATTGTTTCCCGGTTTTGTAATGTAGTTTCTAGAGTCTACAAATACAAGTCAATTTCTTGTGCAATCGAAGTGAAAAAGACATACCCAATGACTTAAATATTTAATTTTATTTAGGATAATTTTGCATATGCCATTGCATATGCCATATGTGGGTAAACTATCAAATAAGTGAGTTAAATGGGTGTTATGCAGTCTACAAAGCATTATGGGTTTGGGGGCCTAATTCCTCCTGTATTGAAATTTGATTAGTATGAAAGGATGAAGAGTTACATCTTTGTGCTGACTCTCCTATTTAACATAGATTTCTTCCATCTGCATTGTCCTTCCTTGTCTTTCAAGGCAGGACAATATGTCTACTTGTTTCCGGACCTACCTTCTCCAAGAGGCCTTCTTTGGTCAATTCCGCCCCACCCTAGGATGGTTGCCTTATATTTTCTTTCCCTAAACATTTATGCATACATTGTGCCAGGCAACTTGACATCTTCATTTATCTTCATATTTTCTCCCATCCAAACTGAAGTTCTATACATGCAGGGACTTATTTCCCGCTTATATAAGTAGAATTCACCAAATGGTTTGAGATTCATAAAGGCTAATTCAGTAAGTAAATGCAAGAATCAAAGTGAGTCCTTCAAAGATCTTAGAGGATCTGGAGGAGGTTCCAAAGCCAGCATACTTAGTCACCCTCACCCCTGACATTTTGTGTTGACCATCAGCAGCAATGATGACAGCTGACACAGCCAACGCCCACAGGGGTGTGCCTGTTTATGTCAGATCCTCCTGCTTTCTCTCCTACTCCAGAGAAGAAAAATAAAAACTTCGTTACTATTTGAACATATTATTTAATGGTACGTTTTGCTCCTTTATCACCTCTTCGGTAATTTTAAATAACTGAAGTTTTTTTTTAAAGGGGATATTAGAAAGTTGTTTACTTGATGTAGGTGAAAGTTGTAGGTATAATGATTTGATTCTATTGCAACGTAAGAATCACTGAGGATAAAGTGAATAAATTAATGAGCAATTTGTAACCTATATTTAAGATTAAGCATCTTGAAGGTTATTAAGTTAATTTTATTTTGAAGATTTTCCTTCTAGGAAGAAAGTGTTAAATTTGCTATCTTTTTTCTTTTAACTCTTTCAAGTACACTCTTATGTCAACAAAGCAATGGTTTATGTCATGTATGAAGACAACCATTTTCAAAGGAACTGCCATCTGATTTATAAATTAACTACAATAATTTAATATTAATAACCAATGCTACTTCCCATCTAATATTTTATTTTTAAAGTGGATAATTATCAATTCCATTGATCTTTTAACAGCTTATAAAGTGAGGATATTTACAATAATGTTTCACAAGAGAAACTGTCATAATCTTTTACAGATGTCTCTTCTACTTGTATACTTGTATTTGTTTATCTGTGGGTTTCTAAAGCACTAAGCATAGTGAAGGGAGTAGGTTTTCAGTTAATATTGATGGACTAAATTGATTTGTCTTTTGTTTCGAATGCTTTATATTCAAAGGCTCACTTGGCTTATCCAGCCATTCCCTGAGCTATTACACCTTTTTTCAGATGAGAAGCACTAAAATCTGTGCAATAATAAATAGTGAATCCTGAACTGAAATTGATTTATTTCCTTTCTCATTAAACTACTTGAGGAAAAGAGGGAGAAAGAATACATTGGCTTTATTACATATGTCTTACTGTTTTCTAGTTTTTACAGCACTACAGGAAAATAACAATTGCTAGCATGACAAATTGCTAATATGACATAAATTTTATGACTTCCACTCTCAACTGATAATAATTGATTTTATATTAATCACAATTTTTCTTAATTTTTACATATAATGATATATGTTAAGTTCTTGAGAAATATTTGGATGAAATATCAAAATACAGAGATAAAAGTGAAGATGTAAAAATATGTATCTAATCATTAATAGAGGATTAGGTTTAAAGAATAATTATATAGACACTTCAGAGTAAATGTTATATCAAAATATTACTATACTTAAAACAGCATTCTATACATTTCAGGAATGTGAATTAATGACAGAAATTATAGATTTCATTTTGTTATTTGGTCACTGAATAAAGATGATTATGGAAATAAAGATATGGTGTTTTTTGGAGTCAGAGTATTATATAAGAAAATATGATGATCCCTACAAAGTTAAAGCATGTGATTTTTCTATTTTAATTTTAACTGATCATGTGACATGCAGAAGGTCACTTAATTTTTCTGAGCCTTAGTTTTGGGACATGTGCAACCATGATAATGTATATATTACCTTGCCTGCCTTCTGAGGTTGTGGGATGATCAGACTTTACAACACACATGAAAATACCTTGTAATTTGCCCCTTAATATGACATTGTTTTATGACCTTATATTACTGATTAGTCATAATAAAATTGTCTAAGAAATAAAATATTTGGAGATCACTATAATTGATGAGGAGGGCATGTCTTTTGCCAAAATAACTGTGTTCTCATTGTTATTTGTGGAGGAAAAAAAAGTAAGCTACCAAGAATGTAAATATAGGAATTAGCTAAGTAATATTTGTTTTTCAGTCCCACCAGAGGCTGAAGAGTAGTATCAGTGTGTGTGCATGTGTTTGTTTACATAACTATGTAACATAACTGTTCTAAGAGACCCTGGATAACCCTCACAAACTTCGGGTTCATTTACATTGCTTTTGGCAGAGTAATCATAGTATAATGAGTGAGGGTATGTAAGTGACCCTAAAGTTCAGAGTCCTCATGCAACCAGAGAGCAGAGCTCACAGACAGTAAGCCTGAATTGATGCATTGACTGATGGCCTTCTTTGAGGAGGTGTCAATTTAGCTTTGAACCCAGGAGCTCATTGTGAGCAGGGAAGAGAAGGGATGTCTCCCAATGCAGGAAACTGTTGCCATAGCATTTTCCTTCTCTATTCCTGCCTACTCCTCCACCCCTAAAAGCAGCAACAATTTGTGATCTACCGTTTTCTTTAAGGAGCCAGATGCATTTTCAGAAGCCTGAAAATGCATTCAGGAGTCCATTTCAGGACTCCAATAATGCGACTGTGATATCTAAACTGCTCTTGGCAGGGATAGCGAATAAGTCCATTAAGTTTCCCAGGACAGAATCATCTTCGTGGATTCAACTGCAGAACATGAAACAGACTCAGGGAGAATTTTAGTCCCCCCCCCCCCACCGCCCTATTTTCATTGACCCTCTGCACAATCCAAGCCACAATCGCTCCTGCAGTACAACCTATTCCTTTCAGCACTCGTAGCCGTGGACAGCTCCCTCGCCTCGCGGTCCATTCCTCTGCAGTGAGCAGACTCGTGTTCAGCCTGCATCGGTCGGTGCGGCACCGGACAGCAAGTCCTAGCCAGCGCTCTCAGAACACGCGCTCCCTACCTCCTCCCTCTGGGCGCCCCCGCCCCTCGCTCACCTCGGCTCACTCCAGCGGCGACTTTAAGGGATTCCCTCTCGGACCGCCTCTGCAGCAGCACATCTGGCCTCATTCACCGCACGGCAGGCATGGATCTCCAAGGAAGAGCCGTTCTCAGCTGGAATAGACTTCGAGTTCTCCTGATGCTGTTCCGTGAGTAAACGTTTCGGCGACCGCGAGGGCAGAGTGCACTCTGCAGAGAATAGAGCCGGCATAGTAAAGTCAGTAGCTTTCATTTTGCAGGGGTTTCTTTTTTCCTTTGGGGTGGGGGAGGGGACCGAGAGTCTTCCCGCTGGTGGCGAGGAATTCCCCAGAGACCCACACACCTGTATGCCAGACAGAGTGCTACATGGGCCTGCTTCGTAGGGTCAGACCATTGACAAGAAGGATTTGGTTTAAAATCCTAAGATAAAGAAAAAGGCCAGTGGGGTTATAAATTAGTAAAGGTTTAATGTTTAATTTAATTTTTTATTATACACTAACCACAGCGGAGTTGAATTGGTTGGCGCTAGGTTAGAGAAATGGCTCACAGAGTGCACAGCGGTCGTCAGGGAACTTTGCCCAGAGCCTGCAGACCACGATCTCCACCCACTTTCCCAGGACGCGTGGGCTCACCGAGCCTGGAACCGATGGGATTTTTTTCCCCCTACAGATACAATGGCTCGAATCATGGCAGAACAAGAAGTGGAAAATCTCTCAGGCCTTTCCACTAATCCTGAAAAAGATATATTTGTGGTGCGGGAAAATGGGACGACATGTCTCATGGCAGAGTTTGCAGCCAAATTTATTGTCCCTTATGATGTGTGGGCCAGCAATTATGTTGATGTAAGGAACCTTTTCCCTCCCAGCTTGCTCCCAGGGCTCCAGGGGCAAAGGGCACCCACCCTCGAGACCCTATGAAGACCTGGGTCGCCCGCCTTGCTCTTTGAGCCCCCGCAGGCTGCTCCTGAATGCTGCATGGGGGTTCCGGCTTGTAACGCCTTCTGCTCGCCCTGCCTGCTTTGAAAGTAATCCCCCTCTCTGCTTCCCTAACGGCGGGGTCTGCACGTACAGCACCTAACCGCATGTTCCCGGACCTGGGAGCGCGCGAGAGCGCGCAAAGGAGCGCCCAGGCGTGCAACCCGGAGTTTGGACCTGCCGCCCTTTACAGCCCCCTCAGGGCCGGGTGCGCTGAGGGGGTGCGGGGCATCTGTGTTCCCAGCTGATCACGGAACAGGCTGATATTTCGCTGACCCGGGGAGCTGAAGTGAAGGGCCGCTGTGGCCACAACGAATCGGAGCTGCAGGTGTTCTGGGTGGATCGCGCATACACGCTCAAAATGCTGTTTGTAAAGGTAACTGAGCAGAGGGGGCGCAGACTTCTGGGAGGGTGTGGGCAAAGGCTGCCCTTTGGTTTCTCCACGCAGAAGTCTCAGGGGCTGTTGATGCACTCTTCTCCCACTCGGCAGGAAAGTCACAACACGTCCAAGGGACTCGAGGCAACGTGGAGGCTGAGCAAGGTCCAGTTTGTCTACGACTCCTCTGAGAAGACCCATTTTAAAGACGCAGTCAGTGGTAAGTAGAGGTCAGCAGACCTGGGGAGAGCGCTTCCGAAAGCATGGACACTCCAGTGGCGTAGGCGTGGAAAGTGAATTCCTCAAGAAATCAGGAAATGTTCTGGAAACTGATCAGGGCTTTGAGCCATGGAATTTGCCTCCCAGGCCAAATCCGCCCTGGCTTGTCCTCCAAGCCAGAGGAATGGAACCGCCGGTGGGTCCTCTGGACCCTTGTAGATGCGCAAGAAACCTCAGCCAGAATCAGCCAGTCGCTGGTGATCTGATGCTGGATGAGACATCTCCGTGAGGGGCTGACTTCCCCTGACAGCTTCGGGACGACCTCTTGTGATGTGTCCTTTAGGGAGGCACAGAGAAGAACAAAGCTCTGTCTATTTTTTCTGCTCTTGGTTTTTGTTTTGTTTTCATGTGCTAAAACTTGAAGGGGGGCAGAATGACTTTCCTTTTCGGTCAGGACCTGATGGCCTCGCTATCTTTTTGCGCATGGCAGCAGGCCCTCCCCCCATGCCACCTTCAGTCATCGACTGCAGCCACCAGGAGTTCTAAACCGTGGCCTAATTATTAGCGTTTTCTACCTATCATTCCCAAAACTCACCCAGATTCTCCAAAAATATTGTGGCCAGAGGAATGTTCATTCCCCAAATAACAATGTTTGCATTTGCAGGCACTGTTGAAGACCACGTTTAAATTTATTTATTTATTTTGTAAATTGTGGAATATCCCCATGATGAGGCCTTCGGTCATCTGAACACCTGAGTTGGGAAAAGATATTGAGCCCATGAAAGACGACATGTCACTTTTTGTTTATACCCTTTTAACATCACACCAAAAAAAAGTGTTTTCTTATCTTCATCAAAATTCATATTCAAGTATTTTCCTGGTTAAATTAGGGCCCCTTCCCCCACAAACAAAAGGAAAAAGGTGCAGGGGGTCGGGAAACAAAGTAGGCCAGTAAAGGAGAAAAAGGTAGTAGGTGCCCAGGGGTATGTACGAGTGTGCCAGGCCGTCTGTCCAGGGCACCAGAAATCAGACATGCTTTGAGAAAGATATTTTATTCTTTGGGGACCAGTGTGAAATGTAAAACACCAAGCCCCTGTTCTGTGTCTTCGGGATCTCTGTTGTAAGGTTTTACAGAGTAAACAAGCTTTTTAGGCTTCATGCTCCTCTTCTAAGAAGAAATTCCAAAATTTGCATAAATTCCATATTAATGTTTAAGGAGCTCCTGCTCATGAAGGAATGGGTGTATTTGTTCTTTGACACCACCCGATGCCACAAGAAGAGCCCTGGCAAGGTGACACTGGAGGGGAGCTTGGAGCTGAGAGGCAAGAGCCAACTCCGGCTGGGGAGGTTAGTAGGAGCAAGGGGGTTCTGCCAGTGAGAGGGGCCGAACCATCACTCTGGGTCTTCCCTGCAGCTGGGAAGCACACAGCCAACTCACATCACCTCTCAGCCTTGGTCACCCCAGCCGGAAAGTCCTATGAGTGTCAAGCTCAGCAGACCATTTCACTAGCCTCCAGCGATCCTCAGAAGACAGTCACCATGATCCTGTCCGCAGTCCACATCCAGCCCTTTGACATCATCTCTGATTTTGTCTTCAGTGAAGGTAGGTTGGTGGGGGGTGGGGGTGGGAAAAGAAAGGGAGGAGGGAAGGGAAGGCTGACTTCAGGATGGATGTGGAGAGGGATCTGCCAGGGTCCCAGGCTGCTGCCACCTGGCTTTCCTCTAGGCTGACATGACACTACTTCCTTCTACAATATTTTTCAAAGAATAAAGGCAGTTAACTGAATCATATCAACTTTCTTCAATCCTTCCCTTTTTCCTCCTTCCCTCTCTCCTATTCTCCTTCACTTCATTCTTCCCACACTTCCTTTATTTCTTCATCTTTCTCCACCTCTCTTCCTTTGCCAAAAGAAGACCTTGATAGGGAGAGAGGTAAGAATGTTAATGCAAATCTTCTAATCAAAAAGCAGCTAAAAATCTCAGGTAGTATCTAGATAGTCATCAGTTGAAGAAGGGAAGGGACTTTGTATGTGTGGGCCTCAATTTCTCCATGTTCTTTCAGATACTTCCAGCTGTAGGTTTTACCACTGTGAGTCAAAATTTTTTGTGACTAGAATGCAATAGGGGTGTGCATGTGTGTGTGTGTGTGTAGATCACATGAAGATCACAGAGAGAGAATTATGGAGGCCTGCCTCCACCCGTCACTCCCCTTGTAGGAGGGATATACCCCCAAAGCTCCAGGGAGGCATGGGTCCCTGATCATTTTCCTCTGGGTTGTAAAAGATATGCTTCTTTTCAGTCTGTGCTAGCCCCTGAAGGGGATCAGGCAGATTCAAAGCATCCACATTCTCTTGATTCTCTGTCTCCCAGCAGAGACAGGGCATGTCCGCCTTTCCGCAATTTGTCCAAGTCTAGCAACGATTTACACTCAACAAATGCAGGGAAAGGGAGTTCTTCAATTCATTTGTTGTCTCTCTCTTGTCTGGAGGAAGTTGTTAAAGACAGCTGCGTATTCGTTTTATTTCTCATGGTTAAAAAATGGGGAGATACTCTGATTCTTTATGGGCTCCGCAGGTGAATGTAGCTATTCCAATGTGCAGGGTATTAGGGAGTCTCCGTTTATGTCACACACAAATCATTGTCATTGCCCAAGGAATGCAGCTTTCATAAAATGCCCATCCCACTTAAATTATACTGAATAGATCTACCTCCCCTGGCACCACATGATTGATTATTCAGAAGGCATTCAAGAGTTCCTATGTCCTTGATAGAAGGGTTAGCTTCTTTTTCATCCTTGTATTTTTAGCACCTAATACCATGCTTGGCACATTGCAGCTGTCCAGTTACCTTTGGCTGAACTGATATTCTGAAGCTGTGTACTCAGTTCATAGAGACTTCCAAATGCCTCAGTGCCAGACCAATTAGAATTTAATTGATATAGTAAAGGAGTACCACATTGAATGGTTTTCATGGAAGAATGGGCTACTCCATTTTAATGTATTTTCTATGCAATTGAAACTAAACTCTGTGTCAAGACCTTAGCATTTTTAATAACCTATTTTTAAACAAAGTATTCATAAATGTAATAGTGTCTTTCTTAAACTGAAAGTATTAAAATACTTATAACTCTATTTGTGATTATCGACGACCCATAGTTTTGTATGAAAGTATTGGCTTGTGTAGTATCGGTCCCCAGGGTCCCTACTGTAGATGCTTTTGAGTTTACATGGGTCCTTTCAGGACTCTCGCGTGCCCTTTTGATTTTTTGCTGGTCAGCTGTTTTTTGGCACTTCTTTACCTCTGGTCCTGCTGGCACTGTAATTGCTGCTTTTACTAGTTTCTTACCACGACCTTGCCCTAATCCACTTGGTTATTTCTAAGTTGTTGCTTATAGTTGTTGATCATGCACTGAGAAATTGAATCTCATGGATGTTTAGAATTGTGTACAAAGTAAGAGTAAATGAATTCTGATAAGAACCAGATCCACCTTTCTAAAAATTGTTGAAGTTCATGGCATGGAACTAATGACATCTTTTGTTTGTAAAGCGTTGTTTTAAATTCACTTCCAGATCTTAGACGTGCAGAATAGACTTAGAGAGTTTGTAACCACGTGTAACTTCCTAAATGCAGACACATTAAGCAAAAGCAAATTGCACCTGTCTCACCCAGGCTTTTCTGGGTAATAATTAGGATGTTCCCGTCTGTACGGCACCCTGGAGTTTCAGCCTTGATACTCCGGGGAGGAGGAAGCCCATTCAGAGTCACTCACTGGATCCAAGTGCCTTTGTGTGGCAGGGATTCTTTTGTTCCCAGCTCCTCCTTGTCTGAGCCTCTCCGCCCTGCCCTGCACTGTGTTTTGTAAGAGACCATTTTATCTGATTTGGTGGAATTCAAAAGATTTCTTTTGCCCAACCCTCCACCATTCCCCAGAATAAACACTCAGGAGGCCCTGGATGTGTTAAAATGCCTGTGTGGGTGTGAGTGGAGTGTGCTTGCATGTGTGTGTGTGTGTGTGTGTGTGTGTATTGGGGAGTGTCTGGTCATATATCTATATGCCCACTGCAGGGGTGTGTACATGCAGTCGGTCATGTATGTGCCTGAGCCACAGTATCAGGGTTTCTAATGAAGAATCTATTCCCCGTATAAGGGGGTCCTACCTGACAGCCTGCAGTTTTACACCTGCCTACTTCATAGACTGAGAAAAACAAGGAAGGGTCAGTGAAGTGCATTACTGCACATGCACAGGGGCCTCTCTCAGTCCAAATGGGGGTTTACATCTTTGTCACACAAATTCCTTTAGAGCATTGAGCTTGGTTACTACACTAACCCCCAGCTAAAGTCTCTTAGCCCAGCACGTCTCCGACTGCAATATGCACACGAATCTTCCAGGGCAGTGTATACAACTGCGGTGATCTAGTTAACATACAGAGTCTGGTTCAGTAGGTCTGCAGGCAGGGCCCAGTGTGCTCCATTTTTAGCAAGCTCCTGGCGATGCTCCTGGTCTGTGGAATACTGTGGAGGTGGGGGGGGGTGGTTTGAGCTTAGCAAGGAGAAGTTATGACCATGAGAGGCAGTAACACACAAACCTTATTGTATGGTGCTTGGACAGGGTTGCATGAAAGGGAAACCTTTCAGAGCACGGGACTGTGCAGAGGGCAGCACCTCGTGGACCACCATCCAGAAGGAAAGAGAGCAGCGGGCCTCCTGGAGGAAGAGGAGTATTGGGAGGGGGCTTAGTTCTTAGGTGGTATTTGCCACTCAGCAGCACTGTGAGGAGCCTCTAGGTCAGAGGCAGCAAAGAGGCTCCAGGCCTTATAACTACAGGGCCCTAGCTTATCATTGGGTGACAGCTGTTGGTTGAGGTTTGTTATGCAAAGCAGACAGGCTCTAAATGGCTAAAATCTGCTTCTTTGGACTATTATAAAAATAATTGGATGTGTAAAATTTGAGTGTTGCACCGGAGGGCTTTTCAGCTAATGGGTCTCAGTCTTCAGTGGGGAAATAAACCACCTAGGAGCCAATACACAGAGGCCATGTTGGCTCATTTTCATAACAAATACACCTTGTGTGTTTTCGGCCAGCCTGCAGTCCAAAGCACCCCTTGTTTCTCAATTGGGTTGGATTAACTGGCCCTCCCACAGTTATTTCCTTGTGTGTCCCTTGGAGGGCCCCAGAGATTTCTGTCTGTAATGGGATGGGGGATGTGGCCCTGGGAGAAACAGATCAGGCTAAGTAGTGTAATGACTTGAATTGAAGGCAACTTTTATGCATAATGACAAAAGAAGCCTGGCAGAACATGAGGGGGCCTCTGTTTCTCTTTATTAGAGACCCAGGTTTAACAGGCATTTAAAAGTTACCATATAGGCTGGTCTCTTTTTAACTCTCAAGAAGGAAAAACAAACATAGTAACCTGTGAAGAAGGTCCTGAGATCCCTGCTTACAGTGGAGAAACTGAGGCTCAGAGCAGTGCAGTTACTGGTGAAGGCTGCACTCCTACTGGCTGCCAGGGCTGGGCCCAGAACCTACCATTGGGTATCAGATCCTGTGCTCTTAGCCTCTCAGAGCCTCAGCTGCTTCTTCTGCTGAGCAACTGTAATTGATATGTGGATGCGGGAGGCACCCTTAAAAAGGCTGTTGGGTACGCTGAACTCATGAGCTTTTTATCATTGCTATGAACAGAGTGATTGGGAGATGCCACCTGATCTGTATTTTATCCAGAATTGTGGGGAAAACGATTTGTGTCCTAGCGGAAATGAATGTGCCTTACTTTTCTCTGTACACCACCCTCAGGAGGTGCCCTGTGTTTAGCTGCCATGCCACATGCAGGCGGGGTTTGCTGACACTGATCCAAAGGGATATGTAGACCCGTGATTTACTTGGCACCTGCCAGTCAGGAAACATGTCACCCTGGGTAGTCCCTCTTCAGGGCCTCTTAGACAAGCATCCAGAAGGAGATAATTCTGTTATTAAAACTGCTGAGAACTGTGCTGAAGGTACAATGTGGAGCTCCGGTGCAGGGCCATGTTTCTGGGCAGCCTTAGAATTCTGTGTTCCCAGTACTGTCCTAGAACATAGTGTTTCCATTTGGGTTGCCCACAAGCAGATCCTAAGGGTGTATATAAGTGCAAATAGTTTATTTACAAGGTGGTTCTAGAAAGCCCTGGTAGGGGATTGGAGAAGTGAGATAGGAAGGCAAGGCAGCCAGCACAGGTGCATCGATGAGCAAGGTGGGGTCACACTGCTGGAACCTCCGAGTCTCTGGGAGAGGCTAGAAAACCTGCCTTGATTATCCCACCTGTGGTGGGGGTGGGGGAGGGAGAGCATTTACCTGCCAACTCCCATCCACTCAGATTAGGTGGCATCTACAAGTCATGCTGTTAGGAATATTAGAAGCCATGATTAAAAACTAATGAAATCAGGGTACCCGACAACCTTTCCAATGGCTGCTGAGGTGGAGGGACGGGTATTGACTCTGGGATGTCTAACTTGCCTGGCAGTCAAAATCCATGGGACTGTGTGGCTATGGTGAGTGACTGTCAAGGGAACCAGACATTGTTCATGTCTGCTACACCTGTGTACTGGGAGATAAAGCCTTTCCCTGCT